TCTGGTATCTGGTGTGAGAAGCTCTTTTTTTTTTCTTATCTATTTATAGAGGAATTTTCCGGATCTGCCTAGGGACGCAGATCCGTGCAAAGATATATGAAGCGTATTGTAGCCCCAACGAAAACATACGGATTCCATCAAAACTCCTTGCCTGACATAGACTGCCTGATTGTCTAAGGTAATATTTTACTTTTTGAAAATACTGCATTAATACGTTTAGAAAATTTAGCAATGTAGTGTGGTCGCAGGTTTGAGCAACGGTATTATTAAAAGTACATTTACTGAACGTTCAATAATGTTTACAAAATCAGCTCCTCGAATTGTGCCACACTTTGATATTTGCCTTTAAAATGTTGATTTACATGTGTTCCAATGGGAAAGAATGATTGAATTGGATGTTAGTATCGTCATTTCCTGATCAATTTTCACGGACACCTCCGCAAAGATCTTGGATAGTATTGGCCGGGTTCGATGATCTGTAATCGTTGTGGGCGACATATATTTACGAGTTAAACAAAAACATTGCAGTTCAGTAAAATTTTTCTATACCCTGGTGATTTTGAATCGTCTTCGTGAATCCTAGCTATTATACTTTGCTTCAGGAGAAACATCTAAATAAGGACTTGTCCTTTTCTTGATTTACAATATACATAGAGCAACAGAGACCTTACCCGAATCAGCGATTTTCTGAGTAGACGTACTAGCCTAAGAAGGACATAGAACCCTAAAACAAAATTGCTTCTATAACATTGCAGCATGAATTGACTGACAGTGTGTTCTGAACATGCATAAAACGGTGCAAGCATTACTGCGAATAGGGCTTTCATCCTGACGTTCCCACTAATCTAATAAACAGAAGAGAGCACTTTATGGACAATCGAGCCCTTGCTCATCCTGGTATTGGCCATGCTGTGCCGTACCAGCATGACGGGATGTCCATGCTAGTCTCCATTCCAGGTATCGATTGCTTATCCGTCGGGATGCTGACACGCTCTTTATGGTCAGTGCTTCATTTATGCATATTCGATCTTTATGGCGTCTTTCAACTGTAAATATTCCCAGGCTTTACGACGAGGGACGCGACAGTCTTTTTTTAAGGGACATCAGTGGAACAAGATAAGCAAAGCAGACAAATCCGTGTACCAGCCGCCACGAAATAATAAACTCGAAAAATAATCAAATTGAGTCTATTTGTCGTTCTATATTCCCTGCTGATATATATATATATATATATATTTGAGTCACGAGGTAGATACGGAAAATATGTCCATCTCTAGAACCAATAAATACGTATACGATGCCATCGAAGAAACAAACTGTAGACTGGTCTGGTTTCGTCAAACGACAGTAGGCCTTTTACATTGTTTCCTCATATTCCTGCTATGAACATTTTATATCAGATCAATACCTAATAGTACGAGCTGGTGCACTGATAAGCTATCCCCTTCTATCCTTTAAGGTCCGCTGTAGGTTACTGTAACTTTAGTCCCCAAACAACTTGTTACACTTCAAGCAGATCGCTCTTCAAACATTTGCATTTCGTTATCTTTTATATAAATAACTGACTAACGGCTTTTCTTTTTGTCTGAAAATGGCTGGTGCCTTTACCGTTCCTACCCACTGAAAGGCCGCCACAGAAGACATTGAACCGGCTTAGCGTTCATTAATGTATTGACCTCGCCATTGACATTTGAGCCTTTCCTAATTTCACGATTATCTTGTTTACCCCATACACCTCTGACAACAGAAGGTCGTTGACCCAATCAAACTTCCGGTGCAACCACTTACTACTTTGAGGCGTTACCTCTGACCAACAATATCGATATTCCTATTACTTCTGCCGTCCTCTTCCGTTTGCTCGATTTTCCTACCATGTAAAAAGGGACGTATTCTGTTGCTGCTGCCACTAGTCCCCTCTGTACAACTGCCACCTATTCACTTGCGTCGTTCGTATACGCTCGATATAACGTTCCATTCATCTGTGATAAGTATTAATCTTCGCGGCAACAATTCAGATTCTTCCGCCATTGCTTTTGTCTTCTTCTCGTGGTACTTCCGACATCCACACTAGGCGCTTCCTTACAACCCTTATGCACACGGCCTGTAAAAAGAAATACCATGATGCCTACGTGTAAGCGACCATAGACCTAGGGCTGTGCATGCAAGTGTCTTGGTAATGCGAAAACAGACAAATGTTCTTACTCGAACTGCTGGCTAGTTTATTATCTCATCATCGAGTTCAGTTATTTGATAGACAGGATCGCGAGATGTTGTCTGCTTCGAATAGCTTAGATGTCCACGTTTGCGGTGTCGAGCCTGATAGTCGGTACGCGGACATATTGGATTGTCAAGAAGGTATTGACCGTTTCTTCTAGCTAGGCGGCTCTAAAATCACAGCTGATATGAGTCTCGCCGGTGTCACTTGAAAGTTGATATTTGACAGTTGTATAAGTAATAATTTTGCTGGAATGCCTCCATTCAGACTTAAGATCGAGCGCCTTGAAGATGCGTGTAATGTCCAAAAAGTCATTAAATTTTGCGATTTTATTACAATTACTGGCATGGTTTATAAAAAAAAAAAAAAAAAAGTATGCTGTTTGCGGTCAAGACGTTTTATCAGAAAAGAACGATCTAATGATGGTTCTGTCGCTTTCATTTTGAAAATTTCGATGCAAATGTTGTTCCTCGTAGCAACTAGTAAATCGAAAAGGCGTTGTCTTCCACACTGACGATATCAACCACATACATCCTTAGTTACCTGAAAAAAAATGAAGAAAGATGGGGTCATAAATTCTAATGTATCTGGCGTATAGCCCAGATCTTAGATCATCAGACTATAATCTGAGTCTCTGCGGAACATTTTCAGTGATATTCATCTAGGTTCATCAGTAGAAGGATCCAAAAATCATTTGTCGATAAATTTTTCGAACAGAAGCTACAGAACAATAGTGGTAACTAGTACTAACAGAAGTGGTCAGATTATGGTAGTACTAGAATTGAAATTATTGATCAAAATGGCGCATACTTAGCTACGCAATACTGTTTTAGTATAGAAAAATATATTTGACTTAAAAACGGTTAATACTTTTTCGACAATTCACTACTATGGCCCAGCCGAGATTGAGCTACTTGGGGAGAAAGAAAGGGAGCGAAGGTACGATCGATTAATGAGAGCTTTTCCTGCTGTGGTGGTGACGAGAGCAACGGTTCGTAGACAAAAGATAAAGCACTTCAACGAATTGTCAGCAGCTGTATTCTACAACGTTATGCTACAGATATTTAAAGATTCAGCAACGTATCGACTGGATCATGTGGATTGGAACAATCGACTGTGATTCTTTATCCTCGTCTTGCCATTTCTACATCACTGACTAAACGTGAGTTTTAAGCAGTCAAGAGGAATACGTTGTTTACAGATTGCGATTTTGGTGATTGAGGGACTGTCTCAGTTGTGAAAACCGCATACATGACAGCTAGGAGGCGAAAGAAGCTAGGGGCTAAATGATCTAGTTGGTGATCCATCGGGTTCACTATTTCGGAAAAGTGTCATCGAGAACAATTGAGGTGTATTAAAGCCTTCTTAAAAGGTACGTGAATCGAATTTGAATGCAATAGCCTCTGAAAAATAGTGAACGACGTGCTCACTTAAAGATATATACCTTGTATTTTGGAAAGAACGTTTCCTTGTTTGCCTAAACTGTGTTACACCCGACTACGGTGATCCTATTACCACTGTTGTGCGAAGTACCGCACCATCACTACGACCATGACCTGGTAATGCCTAGATTCAGCTGTCTTCTGGGATTCAAACCATTATCAAGCTTTTACCGTCAAGGGACGTTATTAAGCATCTCTGGCCGATAGATATCACTGGCCAGCTAATTTATCTACCAGCTTAGTCTGCATAGCGGCATCGGCGGACTGGGACAACCGAAAGCAAAACTTTGAGCAGAAGCGCGAGCGCTACAGTTTTTATTGGTAGCGACGTGTCGAATACCCATCCATTCGCTACCAGCCCTTACTTCAAGCCTTGTTAACAGATGCTACCAGACAGGAGCTGTGACGATATACGTCATTGCAATGGTAAGACGTCTGACGTTAGCAAAAAATGACGAGTCAGAAAGTCGGGTGATAATCGTGGTAACCGATCACAACAGAAGTAGCATTCATCTGCTGGTAAGCTCTCCTCGCCCCCCGTTTCAGCTTCATCCTCAAAGCGTCAAGCGCGGCATCATTTTCAGCAAGAATGGCACCAACAGCGATCATATAGTAGCTTCTTGACTGCAGTTGACGATTTCTCACGTTCCTTCTAAACTTCTTTTGTGGTAGATGATAATAGTTGTAGATGGGAATAGGTGTCCAGGACGTTCTTAATGATCCTAGCGGTACTTGGCCGACTGGTCAATTCATCTGTTCGCAATGGGTCTGTCATGGCAGTTGGTTTATTTAAAGAGAACTGCTGATTAAACGAGCTGGAGGCTACGCAGTGGCAACTGCGGGGCGGAAAGCAATCCGACTGTAAAAATTGTGCGAAAGAATAAAGGACGAAGCTTTTTCTGGTCAACAGGTGGGATAAGGGGAGCGAATTGCAGCATTGACGTGTTTATACAAGCAAATGCAAATGCAAACGTACTCGCGTCATCATATGTGAGTGTGTTAAAACTGATTCAAGTTATTGACACTTCTTCTTCTTTACTTTCACATTAATACTACTACTACTACTACATGATGATATAATTATACAAGTGCGCCAGTGTGTACCTCTGCCCTTATGACGTTTTAGACAATGTGTACCGCATGAATGTTTGGGCTGGTCAAGAAAGTGTACGTCTCTTGCTTGTGACTAGTTCTATACATCGTACGTGATAATGATCACGAAATTCACAGGCAATTTCACGATGTGCAGTGTATATATATATATATATAGTACAGTCAAGTCACTTAACGCCTTTATTAACGATTCCATTTTTTGTTTTCTTATTGTTACATTTGTTTTTCAGGAGTCGATGCCCAAAGTGAGGCGGTGTACGTGCGAGTAGATCACAATGCATCGCTTGTATGCCCTCGGGTGCCTGAAGGGACGCCCTCGCAACAGCCTCTATTATGGTGGAAAGACGACGTGCTTTTGCAACCGCCTGGAGGCTCGGGGGGCCGCGGAAGCAGCCCCCAGCGAATCTGGATGCGCAATAGTCAACTCTATATTGCTCGCGTGGTAGCCGATGACTCTGGTGAATACGCCTGCGGCCACTCGACTTTGCGCAAAGCCTCGGGTACCGTGAAGCTCTTCGTGCAAGACGTGCCGGATCCGCCCGGTACGTAGAACATCTACATATTCTGTGTATGTTGCTGCAGGTCTGGAAAAGGCAATAGAAAAAATCTGTTAAAAAAATATGAAACAAAACGAACAGAAAAAAGAAACGTTAATGCCAGTTCTTCGTTTACGATCCTATTGATGCGTAATTTAACTGTTTGATTGCGCGAATAGATGGTGCGCATATGTTGAGGGCTGAATCGATTGTGCGCTTGATTTTTTAGGGAATATGTAAATGTTTAATATAACTTATTGTCAAGTTAAACTTTCCCGTTACAGTACAGTTTTTCTTAGGGCTCTTTTTGCTTGAAATGCAAAACATCTCATGCAGTTCAGAACAAATAAAGCCAGAACCATGTCGGGTTGGGCTTTTGTTACTAAGCACCGCGATCCACTTCCATTTCCTCTGTTCTCATATTTCGGTTGTCTGTACTTCTACTTTTTTCTCTTAAATCATGCAACATCGTATTAAATATTTGTAAGCGTTTTTCCGCTTACGTTGTGTTTTTAACACCGGGCCTTAGACGTGGCTTGTGTATAATGGAACGGTACCCACCCTACTTATTTGTGTATAGGACTATTGTTAATAGAACCTCTAATAAAACATCGTGTTCTCCAATGGAACAAGCTTTCGCAAGAACATCTTTCTGGGCTACTCACGTCACCGCGATTGATATTTTTCCGCTACCTGCAACTGCATATACGCTTGTCTTTCGTCTGAATGAAGGAAACACAGCCAGTTCGGAGTACTTGGCTAAGGTCTGCCAAAAGGAAAGTATATAATCTAAACTTTCGGGAACGGTGACAGTGTAAGAGGGAAATCTATCGGCGAACTGACTCGTGCTCAATGATATGACCAGTGACAAGCGTCGCATCCTGCCAAGAGACGCGATAATGTCGCCACCAAGTGATAACCAAGCGATGGCGATCGCGACAACTCGGTTTTTTTTGCCTTCTGCCAAACATACGTACATAGCCTGCTTCCCTGACACAGGCTATGTACGTATATTTATCCTCCATCCCTCATTTACGTATGAGACTCTTCGTTGTATGCGTCTTACGCGAAGGAGAAGGGGATAGAGCAAGTGGTGCACACAAATTTGAGAGATAATTCAGATCAAATGGCTACTAGCAGATCACAATCTCAGCCCATGCAAAATACAGTATTGGGCCTGTCTTAGTTCTTTTCTCTCAAGCGAGTTCTTTTTCCTTTTTTTTCGCATTTCTCTTTATGCAAAGGTAGGCATCACGTGAAGACTTTTGCCGTCATGGGCTGTCACTGCTACCGCTCTTGCTGATCCGCAGTCACGACAACCTTTATTCGTGAAGTCTGAAATCACCTGCGGGTTATTCAGGTGGCTTGTTGTCGCAGGAGGAAACCTGGGTGTGCTACAGCCTGTAGAGCCCTCTTTGCCTCTATAATTACTTAGCGGCACTCCATTTAAATAATTAATTTAATTAAAACTTTTACCGTCTATATAGATATTCAATTAGTGCAATACCTATTTATATAACAGATATGTTAAGGATAAGTTCACAGTTGGGAAATACGCAGCGCCGCTGAAATAGCCTTCCTGCCACAAAATGCCACAAAAAATAGACTTCCTGTTAAAAAAAAAACGAAAAGTAGGAAAGCAATGGAAACAGGTGCTACTCTAACCGTAAAACTATTTGCTCTTAACTGTAAACCCAGTTTTTCCCAACCGCGGATTACACCTGACCTATTTTCTTGATATACCCCCTTTCCAGCATACAAACTATATGAAAATAAGATATATTCTTAAATCGTTTTTTTCACTTCTACTTAACTTTGACTGGGCAGCGGAACCCAACACAGTTACATTATATTTACCGAACGGATGCTTCTCACTCCAATCTGGCACGCGCGCAAGCACAGCGACACAGAAAAGGGGAAGCCATTCTCACTCAACGCTCCAGAACGGCAATTCCGCAAAGGGTTTGATTTATTCTCGTTAGGATTCTACACGTATGTTTAGGCTCGCTGGCGAACGTCCCGATGACAAAAAGGACCACGTATCTGTATTTTGGAGATAAAAATAAAGGTATGTCTGCCAGTATCGATATTCGCAGAGCTTGTCTAAACGCGCACGTCAAATAGGAAGGTTAGTAGAAGAGTCTAAGACTTTCAATGGTGGTATGTTTGCTTGTTTACTTGTGAACAAGCAGCATTTTCAGCGATTTTGGAATCAGCAGCAGCTACATCGCTAGCAGCCTTGAAATATCATCATAGCATACACACAAACTCGAAGGGAATGAAATGGTACCTTTGACAGTGGGACAATCGTAACACAATGCAGTGTCGTTCCGCTTGCCGGTTTTCCCCTGTACCGTTCGTGGCCTATTACCGTAATGCCTTCATAGAACCTCATCAGTTAAGCCTGCATCGCCATCGGCCCGCCCTCCCCCATCTCTTGCCGTGGGCTTTCTTCCTGGTGTTTTTCCTCTTTCTTTTCCTACGTCAGGGAAAGAAGGCCAACAAATAAAGTGCCGACCATTCAGCTGAGTTTTGCCTCTTTATGTTTAGCTACAACTGGCGCTTTCCAGCGGCGCCTGTGGAAATTCAATACGGTCCACAAAAGCGTTGCAAAGTGCTTTCCTTGTTCTATGTAGAAAGGAAAGCGTGGGAAAAACTTTTCCACCATTTTGACTAGGAAGGCTAGTTTTGCAATACCCTTCTTTTCTCGTACGTAGCATACATTTTCGCCCAAGATATAACCATGGTTTTTTCGACTGCAGTCTGATTTTATATTGGATCGATAGCTTGAAGCGTGTCAAGGTATTCTTTGGAGCAAAAATATTGTTTCCGTTGAATATTAACAACATAATAACAGTGTTTTTCACTCTACTCAAACTGCTGAGTAATAATAATAAGGATGTAAGTGATGGTAGATAACACACAGTACGAAAGCATATAATTTACGTGGGTTCTTTATTGAGTATAGTGAATTCAACAAAGAGTCATGTGTTCAGCGTGAAACTGAATTGAGGTACCAATTTACTGCCCAAACAGGTTTTACTGCTAAGCAAAAATTATTCCCGCTCTCTATTAAGTGGAACTTAATTAACTGGAATACAAAGTCCAAGTTCCACTGTAAGACAACTTCTTGTTTCAAGTTCAGTTCAGCTGCATTGAACTACTGCTTTACATGACCGTTCCTGCTCCTCAATTGCACTCCGCACAGCAAAATCGTTGCCATGCATCCGTAGAGTTGTCAATTGGTAAATTACAAATTAAGGAGAAATTTAAAAAAATCGTGTTTACAAAAATAGTTTTAAGTAGCGAATAAAAATAATTTTACACATAAATCTGTTCTGGGTCCTCCCTGGCCACGTGCTGATTTCCATTAGTCTGAGCTTTCGGATGAGTTGAAAAGGTGGGTAAGTCATTGTGGTCATTGTGCATTTAGTAGAAGGCTAACGGTCCATGTTCGTTACAGGGATCTCAATATACTTCTTTAAAAAGATTTTTACCAATGTTTGGATTTCAAGGTAAATTTCATCTTATGCTTATGCGTGATATGCATTTAGGATCGTCCTGAACCAGCTGTATAGGTTCCAGATGTGATAAACCAGACAGTGTTCCAAGAAAAGTCGCAAAAGAAGCCAGGATAACCGTCATTCTTATTATGACTTTCAGTATTGGTTTGTCAAAATAGTACAGAATTCGAATAGAGAAAGAAGGTGCTTTCACTTTGATTAACATTTTTTGTATATACTTGCTAAATTACTTAAATTCATGATTGCCCAATAATTCTTTCATAGATTGTGAAGGCCGGCGCCGACCCAGCTCACGTTAACACTTATTATGTGGGCTCTTACCATGCGACCCGCCACTTAATTGTGTATCACTTTTAAGAAACTCTTACCGCGACTTCGGATGCATCAACATTTCTGCTTGATCTGATGTTTTAAAGGTCGTACATAGAAAGCAATAGACACAAAGGCCTGCTCAATAGTAAAACGGCGTCAATGGAACATGACTTGTCCCCGGTTACATACTACAGTATAATACGACGCTCACTGCACTACTCATATCAGTCTCCCTTAATATTGCCTTGCTAGACTGAAAGAAGGCAGCATCCCGCGGGACGTTGAAGAATACAAAAGTTGTATAAAGAAAAAGATTTTTTTCGGGTTCTGCCTGTAAGTTTCGCTCGCTGAGTAAAAGCTATAGCAACTGGCAACCCCGAACGAAAAAATAGGAGAATAGATATTTCTGTTTTTGTTTCCGTCAGGTGATAATTATGAATGAAGATCCTTTCGCCCCTTCTTGTCTTTTTCTATTGGCTGGTAGCGGTGGCGGCAGTGGTAATGCCAAGCAAATACCCATTGAATCGATATCCTTCATTTACAAAAACGGGCAATGTAATTGTGCCGTAATTTTTTTTAACTGTTTCAAAATGTCTTCAACTCGCTTGACTCTGACAAATAAGCGCTAACCAAGTTGTTATTCTTGTCGTTGTTGTTGTTGTTGTTGGGGGCATATTATTCGTAAGCCCGTTTCTTTGTCGGGGTTTTTTCGGTGGACACATTTCTAAAGGCGTAACATTGCGTAATGGCTGCTCATGGGGCTAAAACGACGTGTGCCATAGGCGCAAAACGAGGCCCACGGACAGGCGACTAGACCCTGTTGATTTTACTTTTTTTTAGTTGCTATAAGCGTAATTGATTAGATTATGTTCCATTGAAAAACTAGGTGATGGCCTACTCCGCCGTGAAACTGAGCCGACACTGTAAAACTATATGGCAACATTCGATCATAATTTGGTCACTAGAAAACTACTTTTTAGCGAAGTCGATCAGTAAAAGAAGCCTTTTAGCACGGTAAACAGTTGATCCGATACAGACTGCCTTGCGCCGTTTTTTCTATTTTCCAAAGCATCGGCCAAGAACATCGCGTAAATGAATTCATTTTCATACTTAGCTTCGAATTTTGAAATCAGAGTCATATATTGGTCACCCTGTGCGTCAACATAGTTC